TTCATCTTGACCTTCAAAGTTCAGGCTGAATGATGACATCTCAACATTCATGGAGACTTCCGACATCTCAACGTTCATGGAGAAATCAACTTCCGACATCTGAATGTCCATGGAGAATTTCAACAAGACCTAGTATTGGCGGAGCTGTGACCGGAGCTGTGAATGGAGCTGTGATCGGAGCTATGAACGAAGGTGTCAAAAAAACCAACTAAAATATTTCTTCACCCCCTTCGAATAGAACAGCAACTGGTGCGAAATCATTTTATTATGAGGAGATTTTTTTTCAGAATTCAGGTTTTGGGCCCGGATAGCGATGGAATAATTCTTCCTATCCCTCAAGAAAACCCGACGAACGGAGAAGCATGGCCGCTGACCGAGAGAATGAAGCTAAACTACAGCTCTTCCTTCAATGGCTGCAGGTTTTACTACCTGTCTCACTCACTTTCTTTCTTCTTCTCCATCTCTCCACATCTTAAGTCCTAGACTCTAATGGAAACCCAGGTTAATGGTGTCGAACTCCGGTGTTGCACCATCAAGAGCTGCGGCCCTGAAAAAGGATTCGGAGTCTTCACCTCCTGCTCCCCCTCCGAAGATGGTAGCGCTTCAGTACTCCGCATCCCAACATTTACCATGCTTCGCATCCGATTTCTCATTACATTCCCCGATTTCGTAGGAGTTGCCATGGTTGTTCCTCTCGATCTCTCCATCACTCCTATGCGCGTCCTCCAAGATCCTTCCGTCGGCCCTAGATGCAGGGCGATGCTTGAGGAGGGCGACGTGGATGACCGGTTCCTTATGATTCTCTTCCTTACGGTCGAGCGCTTACGGCCGAACTCTCTGTGGAAGCCGTACACACCCTTTCGCACCTTTCAATACAATTATCCTTTACAGTTATCGTTTTTAGTCCTTTTTGAAGCTTTACTTTGATCGGCGCGTCGATGAAGCGTAAATAATATTTATTTTAATCGGGTCTCTTAAGAATTCAGTTATTCAGACTGTTTCTTACTTGTTCTGAAACTTGCTTTTAAACTTGTTTGTTCGAGTTTGTTTATGTAGAGGGACATTTACATACATACCACCCAATTTTTTGTGTATTTACATATCTAAAGTTTATATTGTGGGATTTGTGACTAGGTATTTTGATATGCTTCCGAACACCTTCGGGAGTCCACTCTGGTTTACAGAGGATGAATTTGCCGAATTAAAGGGGACGACATTACACAAAGCAAGTGTTTTGCAGGTAAATACGATGTATTAGATACATTTCAATTGCTGTAATCCGCCAACAATAAATTTATAGTCAAATATATTCTTATAGAATGTGGAATATAATTTACAGTTATAATATGGCTGAAAGTACATGCAATAGACAAATAAGGGCGATGGTATGCTTGGTGGTATTAGCTTTCCCTTGTCGAAATAAAAAAAATTCGAATTTGGGTCTAACTATATACAACTTTTTATATGTGGTGGAAACTTATATTGTAATTGTCTGGATCAATTAGCATGAAACCTTATATTTTTTTCCATGCACAAGTTTTATTTGTGGTGGATACTCAAGTATTTTTGGTGACTTATTGATATGCAACTGAATCCATTCAGAGTGAATATTTACATAATTTTGGCGACATGAGTCAGTCTGATTGTTCTTATTTATCTTAAATGAACAAAAAGATTCATTGATCAAAACTAAACCAACGAAGTAATTTTTAACTATGTTGAATTCAATATTTACTTGAGCTTGTAGGAAGCGATAGTGGTTGTACAACTCAATAATAATATACAATAGTAATATCTCTGTGTTTATGAATTTTTATGCCTCTATTAAATTTCATCTTCATGAATATTTCTCATATTTATGTCTTTTTTCCTCAAGTATTAACTTATTGTCCAAATTAAGAACTTATGATATGTAAATTTGAGTATATATGTTTGATTTTGTTCATCTCATTGTGGACCCATATTAGCATACTTTAGATCTTAAGACATCGTGTATCATATTGCGGCAAGGCTTGTCGGAAGACCATGGATAAATTTACTAATTGTCATCATCGTTTTTCACTCTCTTTTTTCGTATTTATTTTGTATTGGATATAAGAATCCTCAACTTTTTTTTTAATTTCTTCTAGTGTTATATGAGGTGTTCACTGTATTTTTTATAACTTTATTTTTCAACTTCTAACAGTGTTAGTTTTAGTGTATACATTTTGATTCATTATATCTTCAAATTAATTATATTTATGTTGTTATTGCATCACTTTTCTTCATTTGTTTGTGCTCAAACCGCTTAAATCTATTTTTGACTACTATATTCATATCTAAGTTTGTCCTTTTTTAGTTATCATATCACATGAAAATTTAAGCCTTACTGACATCTTAAACTTCAATGTTCGTTAAAACTGAAAAGAGTATGCCATAATTCATGCTTGTTTTGACTTGCAATTCAGTCACTCCTTTTTCTATCAGGATCTTATGTGAAATTGAGAGCAAACATTGTCAGAGCAGACATTGCACTTAAAGCTGTACCAATGATGGTCTCTGAATTTATTTATAGTTAAATTTTGGCTTTTTTAGTGACTACTTTGACACTATCTTTCTGATTTAGAGGAAGAATCTTCAAGCTCTGTATGATGATAAAGTAAAAGTCTCGATAAAGTAAAAGTCTTGGTAGATGAGCTTTTATGTGGTAATGAGAGGTTTGAAAAGTGCTCTGTTTCTTCTCCTAAATTGTTGTCCTTTTTTTATGGTTTAATATTGTATTTTTTATCTTCTACAGTGTCTATTTTAACTTCACTATCTTTTTATTTTAGTTCCATGTTTTTCTTCTTCTTTATGATCTTCACAGTGTCTATTTCCATGTTATATGCATGTTGTGTTAAGGTACCACTAAGTACTTCTTGAAGACTGGGAGCTCGAGTAATGTTGGAATTATGAAGTTGACACTTTAGAAAACAATGTCTATTACTGTAGCCCGCAGGATTTTATTTAATAAATCATATTCCAAAAGTAAATGTTGATGTATATGATTGTACCTAATCGTCCTATTCTAGTCAGTCTTCTTATACATATCGTGAATTGGGTTTTGATCAATCAGGGTTATAAAGTTTCATCTATTTTTATTTTATTATCATATTTATAGATCATATGTAAGCTTTTTGACCTGACTGTCCCATCCCTCAATTGTCACGTTAACATGATGAAAAATCACGTCATTTGGTAGTTTATTGAACTATATATTTACAAACTTGTGTAAGTCTAGGAGTTCAGGCACCTGTATCTCTTCCACTAGTCTAAAAGCATGACCTTGATTTGAGTAGATCTATAAGGATTATTATTGTGTTCATACCATTATGAAAATGAGTTCAAAGATGATGGACAATCATCTACAATCAGTCATCTTGCTGACGCATATTTTGTAGTCGTGTATGAGATTATTGTTAAGCCTGAATTTGAGATTTCGACCAAGTTTATTGCTCAGAGCAAAATTTCTTATGCCATTTTTGCTACATATTGTTTCATAGGCTATAAAATTATTGCTTGGTTAATCTCTAAAAATATAGGTGATTTGTATTACCATAGAAACAACTGAAGCGGCCATGAGATTTTATTTAATTGTATTGGTCAAACAAGGATGATTAATTTATGTTAATGTTCAAAATCAAATCCTCTAGTTCTACTCTCCATATTCAGACAACACATATTGGTGATACATGAGATTTTCATGAAATTGTTCCATCACTCACTACCGCCATTTATCCCAAACTTCTAGAAAATGGCTTTTGCATGCCTCTTTAGGAGAAGGGTCGAGTTGATGCATTACAAGACATTCATAACAGATAAATCTATTCTATTTGTTGAGTATTTAGTTATTTGGATTGTTTTAGGAATTATTTCATTTTTATTATGTTTTATTTTTTGGATAACATTTATTTTAAATTAGTCGATTGGATTTGGAAGGCATATATAGTTTTAAGCATTAAATTTCATTTGATTTTTAAACTGTACCCTTTTTTATATAAATAGGGGTTTATTGCTTCTAATTGAAAAGTTATCTCAAGGCTGAATTATAATAGAAAGATTCACTAATTTTTATTATCTCCCAAATTATTCCCTCATCGTACATTCTTGCTGGTCAAGTGAATATTACATGTACCGTTGTAGGTAGTCTTGCTACCCAGAATGAGGAAGAGAAGGATTATAATGCTTCAATTTTTTCTATGTAATACCACCCACCCATTTTTTGAGATTTTTTTTTCAAATTCATTTTACTTTATGTTTTTCAATTGGTTCTGTATTAGCCAAGCTACTTTCTGAAATTTTGAAAGAAAAAAAGTTAAAGCCGCTCTTATTGTTACCATGATTCAACTGCTTTTGTGTACCTTGTTGATTATGTGATGTTATTTTTGTACATATGATTATGCTTTATCACACTTATGTTTGTATTCTGTGTAGTGCTACCAAAAAATTGTTTGCAACATTTACCTAGTTAAAGTTTATGTTGTAGTTTGATTTATACTGTTAGATGAATGTGATTCTTAGACTTTTTCATGTCAGAGTTATTTATTTATTTTTTAACATCTTTTTAACATCAAATATATTTTTTTTTCCGGAGCTGAAAATTGATTTGTTGGTGCCATGACCAGTTTAAGGGAGGTGCAGTTTGAGGATTTCCTTTGGTATGTATCTTTTGAAGTCATATAAGTTGTGCCTAGCGATTTTGATTCATTATATTCTGTACCATACGCAATTTTTTAAACTAGTTGATCTCTTTTCATTTTATTTTCGAGAAGATAGTTTTTTAATTGCAAACGGGGAAGCTGAATCCAAATTTATATATCTTTTGGAAAAATTCTTTTGGAAATAAGAACGATAAAAAAAATGGATTTAGTTTTTTTTTGTTTTTGTTTTTTTTTGTATAAATCGCATTCCTTGGGCAGTCTTATTTAATGAACTGTTGGTTTCATCAATCGATCCAAGCGAAGTTAGCTAATGGTGAGGTAATATTTTATCACGTGTGTGATTAATATGCCTATAGCTTTCAATGCACAATTGTTAGTTTACTATTCTTTATCAATGCTTATGGATCATATGATGTATAAATATTGTATATATTTGATGTATAAATATTGTACATACGTTTACTTCTGGTAGGCTTTTTTTTTTGTTATTTGAACTTACTAATATATAATTTTAAATTTTTTATAGGATGGTATTTTTCGGAAATCATTATTTTATTTTAGGTGATTTTCTGTTTACATCCAAATCCTTTGAGATTCTTTATGTGATATTGTTACCATCCAAGCTCTTCTTATATCTAGCTGAATAGTTCTCGCACAGTTTATTTATATATTGTATGTACATTGTAGTGGGATCTTATCATTTTGCATCCAATTTTGAGAATAATTTATTAGTATTTTGGGAACAAAAGAGTGCCATTGTTTTAGTTTTAACTTGACAATTTCATCTATTTGTTTAACGAAATTGATATGCAGAAAGTTTTTTTTAAAGGATAAATTGCATTTATATTCCTAAATTTGTGACTTAATGCAACCGAGTTCATAGTATTATAAGATTAGCTTGGTGGTCCTACCGTCTTTTGGGTGTGTATGTCTTTAGGAACGACTACTGTTATAAACACTGTTAATAATGCATGTAGGACTACCATATCCATCCATTCAATTTTATCATCATCCTTATATTTAGGGCCTAATTGCATATTAAGTGTACAAATTTTTGAAATCCATGTAGGTCCTTGTGAACATGAGATTTTTCTGAAAAATCTACCATGCATTTGAAGTTCAAAAATGAGAGTTGTCAAGCTAAGCTATTTTTTATTTTGAAGCAAAGAATCACTAAAAGGGAAACAAAATTAGTATATAATACACTCGATTTTAACTGATTTTGTCAATGAACATATGCCTTATATGGTGGATAGAGGAAATATTTCTACAATGAAGTAAAGAAGGGTTACAATTTGCAGTAAACAATCTCTAAAGATCCCAAAATCCCTAATGATGCCAAATGTTATAAAATATGCTTATGGTCACAAGAAGATACTAAATAGGACTGAACTTTGCATATTTATAGCTATCACTTGACAATGTAAGAGTCTTCGAGATAGCTTGATGGGTGGGTGTGTTGGTGGCCAAATTTGCAATTTGTAAAAATGAGGCAACAAATGATGGATGAAATGAAACTAGGGTTGTAATGAAGTCGAGTCGAGTATGTCACGGATTGGATTTGGCTTGGTCGAATCATAAGTTCATGTTTAGTTCAAGTTTGAGCCGAGCTTTCACATATATGTTCATATTTGACTTGATTAAATATTTTAATCATTATACTTGATTTGTACTTGGTTTGTAAGTTAATAATTTGGATGAGTACTTGATTTTTCATATAAAGTTAAAAATTCAATTTTCGCTTAATTTTTTATATAAAGCTAGGAAATAAGCTAAAAATTTGAATGATACTTGACTTTTTTATATAAAGTTATTAATAAATAATTTTAAAAATCTAAATAAGTAAAAAAAATGAATAAATTTTAAATTACCATCTGACTAATTTATACCATGTAAATAAAATAATATATAAGTCGTAAGTAAGCTTTTTTTACAATCAACTAACATATATTAGTACTAATAAACTAATTCATTGGAATAAAAAAATAAGAAAAAAATGCATTAAATTTATATGCATATTGATATTAAATTTTAAAGTCTTGCTATTAAAAATATAATTAAATAAGTTTTTGTTTATTAGAAGTTATTCCTATGTATTTTGTTGCCTTTCATGTTATTTCTTTATATATGTATTTTCTAGTTTATATCTTTCCTTTTTATCGTTTATGTGATATTAGGAATGATTTGGGTATTATATCTTTCTTTTTTTATATACCTTGTATCATGTATTTATACCCATTTTGCTGCTCAATAATATTATTTAGCTCAATTCTCGAAATCTACATGATATCAGAGCGAAGGACGTCACCATAAGTGTCGTCGACACATTTCCCTAGCAGCCGCCGACTCTCCTTGTAGGATATCCTGCAATTTATTTCTTTCGTCGACAATTTCCTGCAAGATTTCCCTTTATTCCTTAGCTGTTTCCTGCAGGTTTTCCGCTGCTCTTCCTAGTCGTAGGAAGCAACACAGTTTTTTTGCTATTCTTCCCCGCAAAACTTCTCAATTGATTTGGCTGAAATCCAATGCTGCATCCTGCTGGTCATCCACAAAAATACAACCTCGGTTTCTATAGTTTTGTTATGGCAGAAACCTTTGTTTCCATGAAGGTTCAACCAATTTCCTAAATCTCCGACCTGATTGACAACGACGACAACGGCGCCGCTTGTAGCTTGGTCCTTCCTTGCAAAATTTCCCATCGCCGACCCTTCCTCCTGTAGTCGACATCCTTCTATTTCTCGACATCCCAACCTTATCTTCAACTTAGTCAGAATTATGGAAGACTCCTATACCACCGAGCCTCCTAATAGTGTACTTGAGTCCACCGGTGGATTGACCTCTATCTTAGAAACCACAACAGTACATCCGACTTCCACTCATAACATCCCAAAATCACTAAACTCGATTAAGATTCAGATGAAGGACTTGATCAAACTTCTTGAAGCTAGTCATTTCTCCTCTGGTCCTTCGACCTCCCATGTTCGTCAAGTGAACCTTTCGATGTCGCTCATTGTTTTTGCTTCCTCTAGTATTTGGATTATTGATTCAGGTACCATAGACCATATAAACCAAATGCTCTCAAGCCTTCTCGTCATATTCTCCGTGTTCTAGGAGAGATACTGTTTAAATTGCTACGACTCTGGTAGTTTCATTGCGGGTAAAGAGTTTGTTGTTTTAACATCAGACCCGACTCTAGAATATATGATACATGTACCTTTATAAAAGTGTAACCTATTGTCAATCAGTAAGTTGACATATGATATTGATTGTGTTACTCATTTTTCTCCTGATTGTGTCTTTTAGGATCGTCGTTCGAGGAGGATGATTTGAACTGCTAAGCGGGTAGTCATACTTATTTTTTTTTTCAAGTGAAAAATAGCATTGTCGAATGTCCTATTATGCTTTTAAACAGTCGTTTGGGTCATCATAGTTTTCAATATTTAAAACATTATACCCTTTGATGTTTACTAATAGTAATTTATCTAGTTTCAAATACGAGATTTGTCAGTTAGCTAAACATCACTGAGTACCATTTCCACCACACTCTTACATTTCTTCCGCTCATTTTCCACTAATTCATATTGACTTGTGGGGACCCTCTTGAACACCTAGTTGCACCAATAAACGGTGGTTTCTCACCTTTATTGATGATCACATTCGAATAACGTGAGTCTATTTTTTAAAAGATGAATCTGAAGCTGCTGCCACCTGTAAAAATTTTCATTGTTTCATTTTGACCCAATTCAAAGCATCGATTCAAGTCCTTCGGGATGACAACGACCGTGATTTTTTTAATTCTATATTAGGGAATTTCTTGATAAGTAAGGGCATCATCCATCATAGCTCCTTTATGGATATTCCTCAACAAAATGGGTTAATCGAGCGAAAAAAACAACACCTTCTTGAAATTGCCAATTTCATTATGTTTCAATCGAATGTCCTGAAATAATTTTTGAATGTTATTGTACTTACCACCACATCTCTTAAATTGTGTCCTCACAGAAATTCATAAATTTTGGACCTTGCAAGCAATCTTAAGGTCCTATCTTTTTACCAATCGGTTTTTCTCCACTTTAAATATCAAAATATTTGGTGCATGTTATTTGTTTGGAACACTGCCCAACTCACGGGACACTTGATCCCCGTTCAATCAAGTGTATCTTCCTCATATATTCTGACACTCAAAGGGGATAAAAGTGCCCCGATCCTATCACAAATAAATTCTATGTGAGTGCTGATGTTTCTTCTTTGAAAATGTTTTTTACTTCCACAACACTGCCTCAAGTCAGAGGGAGATAGATTTTTTGAACACAACTCCTTTCCCAACTCCGTTGGATATGCCACCTTCTCCAGCCGCTGTTCCCGTTGAGTCATCTGCCCCACTGGATCTACCATTTACTCGACCAACATCTCCTCCACCCACTCTTCGTGTTTATACTCGGCACATCAAACCCTCAGTTGAGACTTGTCCCACCACTCCTCTTAAGCACACTGTCTCTTTGCAGTACTTCGAATCCACCCCGGTCTGACCGACATCCCAAGCACTTCACTTGCGGAGATTACTCCTGCTTTGGTTGAGGAGGTAAGTTCTACTATTGAGGTACACAATCATGCTTGCTCTCTTTATTCCATAGCAAAATATGTCTTATTCCGCAGCTCATCCCTGACTTACAAAGCATTTTTCATTTCCTTGATGGATCATCTTCAATTCACTATTGAGGCAGCATTGGCAGACCCTTCGTGTAAGACTACAGTAATAGATGAAATGAATTCCCTTTGGCAAAATCATACGTGGGATGTTGTTAATTTTCCTTGGGAAAAGAAAACAGTTGGTTGTCGGTGGATCTTCAACATCAAATTTAACTCCGATGGAATTTTTGAACGTAATAAAGCACGGTCGGTCGCCAAAGGCTACTCACAAACCTATGGAGTTGACTAATGAGGAGACGTTTTCTCTAATTGCTAAACTAAACAATATTCGAGTCCTATTATCCCTTGTTGTGGATTGGCCCTAACTCCAATTGTATGTCAGTAATGCCTTCCTTAACGACGTTCTCACAAAGGAGGTGTACATATATCTTCCTCCAGGCTTTAACTCTTCTGCTTCCCAGAGACAACTGTTTAGACTGTCGAAGTCCCTCTACTGACTGAAGCAATCTCTTCGGGCTTGGTTCAGCAAGTTCACGTAGGTGGTAGTGGGCCATAGGTTTTGTCAGACCCAATCAAATTATACTCTATTCTTTTGGCATTCCTTTAGCGACCAAATTGCCATCCCTATCGTCTATGTCGATGATATTGTATTCAAAGATAATGATCTACCAGTTTTGGAATCTCTTTAAAGCATCCTCGCCGCATCCTTTGAAATGTAGGATTTGGGATCTCTCCGATACTTTTAAGGCATGGAAGTTGCCCGGTCCCCTCAGGGCATTTGCCTTTCCCAACGCAAATATATGATGGACCTAATGACAAAGACCAACCTTCTATTTTGCAAACCAGTGGCTGGGGGAATGGTCCCCAATGAGAAATTGACTGATGTTTCCAATGTTGCTCCTGTGAACAAGACACTACTAGTCTCTTGTAGGGAATCATTTATCTTTCTCATATGCGTCTCGATATTTGTCATGGGTAGGTATTGTAAGTCAGTTAATGCATGAATTCTGTGAGCACCATCTCACAGCTGTCCACCTGATTCTCCACTACTTAAAAGGCACACCGGACTCAAGTTTGTTATTATTACGCCACAATTCTCGGTCTATTGTAGTTTATACCGATGTTGATTGGGCCGCGTCCATCCATGATCGGTGATTTACCTTGTGGTATTGTTCATTTGTGTGGGAAAACATTGTCACTCGAAAAAAACAAAAAATAGTTTTTGGTTAGCCGAGTTTCATTCCATGTCCTTGGTAATCTGTGAAGCGCTCTGGTTACACATTATGCTCCGCAAATTATATATGCTGACCTCCGCTCCTCTACAACTGTTCTGTGATAATAAAGCCGCAATTAACATTGTTCATACTTCGATCTAGCATGATCACACCAAGCATGTAGAGATTGACTGCTACTTCATCAAGAAGAAGCTCGATTCCAGCGAGATTTGTGCTCCATTTGTCCTATCAAGTAGTCAACTCACATATATTCTCACAAAGAATCTTTCTCGGCTGTTGTTTGACGACTTTAAATCCAAGTTGAACATGATAGATCTCCATGCTTCAATTTGATGGACAGTATTGGAAGTTAGTATTCGAAGTTATTTATGTTCATTTTGTTGCCTTTTCTATTATTTCTATATATGTATTTTCTAGTTTGTGCCTTTTATTTTTTTTTTGGGTGTTATTAGGAATGATTTGGGTATTATATCTTTTCTTTTTTATACCCCTTGTATGATGTATTTATACATTTTTTGCTGCTAAAAAATATTATCCCACTCAATTCCCAAAATTTACTTTGTTAATTAAATTTATTTAAATAATATATCAAATAAGTCATAGCATTTAGCATTTTGTTTGTTGAACAAAAAATAAGCTTGTTCGTGAACATTGATAAGCAATTTAAGCTATATTCACATTTGGTTCATTAAATCTTTGAGTTTTAAAAAAAAATGTTTAAAATTATTTATTTACTAATTTGAATAATCATGATCTATTAATCGAGTCAACTTCGAGTTGTTCATCAAGTGTATTGGTTCAGTCACAACTCTGGATGAAGCTAAGATGGAGTGAGACACGGTGGCACAAGAAAATGCTATGAGGAGGCCTTCGAGTTGTGTTAGTGGTTGTGAAGTGTTGACCACACTTAATGGCATGTTGTAGGAGATCGTGGTAGATATGGGAAGATGATGTTCCTGGGTTGATTGCGAGAGCTTATTGCATCTTCGAAGTGTGACCTCTTAGCCATGTAGCCTCAATGTGTCAAATTTCTAATTAGGAGTGGGTGGAGAGCGTGGAGGTAATATTGGTGGCTATTGAACAGATGGAGTACTTGAGTAGCTCAACATTAAAATATCTTGACCTCACCAACATGATCTTGACTCACCTGAACAAGATGGACTATTGAATGGGCAGGAACCTCAGCAATTCCCTGGAAATAATAGGTGGCATTGGCCGACTGTAAGTGTGCACAATCTGAAGGGTTTTGTAGGGCAATATTAGAATGCTAAGAGCGACTCTTTAAAGTTTGTTTGACAACAAGCCTGACCAAGCATCGAAGAGCCATGGTCTGGCTAGACAATGACAATAAACTAGCGCTTTATTCTTTGTGTAAATAAAATATGTTGAATGTAATTGAAATGAATTTATGAGAATTTCACTGTTCCTGTACTTTCTTACATTAGAGGTATGTGGGAAGTTGTGCGAGGTCTTGTTTATGAAGTTACATGACTGCTTAAGATGGTTAAAGCTTGAATTAATCCTGATCAACTTTGTTACTGGGAGATTTCCAAATCATAAGAAAAAGTGAAATACTATATATACGATCATAAACATTAAAATATTAAAACCCAAAAATGAAGGAACATGGGCTAAGTTTGCTAGCAACTCTTTGTTTGAGGGACCCGCCCATTAGAATTTGGTTACTGGCAAGCTAAGTGATGTATCTGTAGGAAAATATTAATAATTGATGCAAAAAGCTGGAATGTTGCTGTTCAATGATTACTATAGAAAGAGCTGCTGTCCACAGATTGCTGTAGATGAAAAGCTGTTGATCATGGATAGCTAGAGTGCTTTAGATAAAAAGCTGCTTTCCATAAATTATCACGCTGTAGATAGAAATTTGCGGGTCATAGATTCATGATTATTTCGATGCCCTCATGCTGTGTTTTATGTATCGATCATGCATAACTTATTGATTAGTTTATCAAAGTTTATTCTGGGTAAAGTCTTATTGAGGATATCCGTAGTTTGAGAGTTGGTTGGAATATAAATTTTTAGTTTTTTTTTGGCTCGTGATTTTTGAATTTTTTTTATATGAAATGTTTGTCTATCTTAATGTGTTTAGTCATGTCATGGTGGAAGATTGGATAGGATTTTTGCAACATTTATGGAACCTTGGTTATCACAATACACTTTTAGGAATTTTTTTACTGAATTTAGTTCTTTTAATAATCTTTTTAACCACATTTCTTGCTAAAAAAATTGATTAATGGTGAATTTAACAGTAGCCGTGAATAAAAACCTACATTGTCCTTGGCATAAAAAATGAGGAACTATATGAATACTGGCTTTTTAAAATGTTTATCCAGTTGCTATTAAGCTGTAAATAGAAGGGTGTTTGTGCAATTTATCCTTATGGAGAAGTTAACTATGGTTGATTTTAAAATATATTGAAGAACATACCTCAGGTCTATAATTTTAAAATTTAAACTAGTATTCCACCGAAGTGCTCCATCATTGTATCCCTTTATATTATTCTTTCTTTTGTTAGCAGTTTTTTGTGGGTTTCTCTTGTTAATATTTGTGATGATAATTTTTTTTACAAGCTCCAATTTAACAGAAGCTTACGCACACTGTAACAGGGCATTTTCAATATTCTGGACTCGAGCTCTGAATATTCCATTTCCTCGATCTTATGTATTCCCTGAACCAGCAGGAGATCAAAGCAACAATCGTGTTTTGCATACTAGCTATTGTGTTTCCCCTGAGACTGATATGGCCGGTGAAGCATCTGCTGATACCAGCAGGGATCAAAGCAACAATCGTGTTTTGCATACTAGCTATTGTGTTGCTCCTGAGACTGATACGGCCGGTGAAGCATCTGATGATACCAATGGTGAAAGATACAGGGTCGTTACTTTTATTGACATTACTTTTTTTGAAAATTTAGATACGTTGCACACAATTCAAATGTATTCACATATGTCACACTAAACTTTCATATTTACATACATAGCACTTTGGTGTTTTAAACTATATATGGAAATGTATATTTCACTTTTAAAAATGGTAATAATGCTATTTTTATGTGATATTAAAGATTTAAGTGCCTTGTGTGTAAATATGAAATTTTAGGTGTGAGATATGTAAGTACAGAATGACGTGTGCTATGTATGTAAAGGCCTCTTTCATTTTTCCTAGCTTTGTTGTTGCTTTATGGTTAACATGCCTGTGTGTGCATTTGTGCGATTATGTCCATATCTATATGTATATTTAAGTATTTATGCTTGATGTTTGGAGGTATATATCTGTTTATATTTGATTTAAAACCTGCATATATTTATTGATTTTTTTTTAGTGCCATATGCGTTATTGCTATTCTTTTGACGGGTATTTTTCTCTTACCGTAGGACAGTGGTATTTTGTTTGACAAGGAAAATAGTACTGAAACTTCCACTTCAAAAGCTGGAGAGACTGTATGGGTTGAGGGTCTAGTTCCTGGTATTGACTTCTGCAATCATGGTATACTAACCGATCTAATATTAATACAGAGCCTTCTTAATGTATCGTCGAATTTGAAAGAAACATGCAAAAATGCATTGCACAATCGTCTTTTTCTCAAGTTGTTTGTTAATTTGTTTTAGCTGGCTGGCTTGATATATACTTGCGTAATTGCTTCGCTGGAGCTTATTATTGGCATATTTGTTGATACTTTACCACATATTGCACTTCAAATCTAAACTACTTAAATACATTTCCAAGATATTTTAAGTACAAATTCATATGTTTTAGTAAAAGTATCCAGGAATCACTGAATTTAAGTTCCATCTTTTGTTTTTTACTGCTACGGTATGATTTTAGCATAACAATTTTAATTTTTTATTCATGGAAATATAATTGATATACAAGGACAGATCATATGCTATGATAGGTTTTCACTTTACAGATGCTTTCCTCCAGGTTTGAAGCCAGCAGCAACTTGGGAGGTTGATCAGATTGGATCCATGACTGGAATTCCTTATTCAATGTATCTCCAGCTTGGTATATCTTCCTGCTGTATTTTATTATAGTTGTTTGAAGTCTATACCTTTGTCTTTTCATTATGATCGGATGTGCGTGCATTTGCAACGGTACTGTTGAAATTCACTATAATGCGTAATATTTTTATTAATCTGATAGGAGTTGAAATTCAGAATAATGCGGAATATTTTTCATGATATAAAAGGGAATATAAATAACCCTCATTGAATCCAAAAATAGGAAAGACAATAAAAGAAAAAAAAAGAAAAAAAAAGATATAACACTTAATATCTTAACTTAATCAATTCATATTAATTATTTGGAAACAAAGGAAACAACATAAAATATGAAAGCCTAAAATAGGAAATGAAATAAATCAAATCCAAGAAAACAAGTCTAAAATAAGAAAGGAAATAAATTTTATATTAGGAAATAAATCTAATCCTCATAACTTCTAACATGAATAAATTATTTTTCTACTATAACTTCTAACGCTCCTTCTCAAGTTGAAATATGGTTGAAAACCATGTTCAATCTGAATTTGAAAACATCAAACAATGGGCAAGGAAGATCCTGCAAAGTAGAACATGAAGTCTTCATCCCATACTGTGATTTTCTTTGACTGCAGTTCCTGTAGTGTCTGTAGGTAGGTAAAAGACTCTTATAGATAATGCTAAAGCTGAATTTGCGGGGAAGTAGACAACTTGCAGGAAAAGCTGACTTCTAGTTAACTGTTGTTGTCTTTGATTGCAGTACCTACAATGTCTGTTGGTAGGCAAAAGACTCCCACAGGTAATGCTACAGGGGAGTTTGCAAGGAAGTAGACAACCTGCTGGGAAAAAAAAAACTTTTACTTGACTATGATTGTCTTTTACTGTAGTTTCTACAATATCTGTAGGTAGGCTGAAGACTCTTACAAGTAATGCTGCAGGGGAGTTTATGGGGAAGTAAAAAACCTCCAGAAAAGGTAGCAGGGTATGATCTGCAGAAAAAAAAAAAACTTTGGAGGTATGTCTGCTGTAGGGGAAAGCTCCGAAGAAGCGCCTATTGCAGGAAAACACTTTGGAGGAAGTTCTGTTTAATTAAAGATTCCGAAGGAGGGCCTAATGTAAGAAAATGCTCCGGAGGAAAGCTTGCTGCAGGAAAATGTTCCGGTGGCTAAGTAAAAAACAGAGAAAGAGCATTGATTTTTTGGCAGCAGGGAAAAAAACCAACGAAGGACATGTAGACCGGTTACCGGTTATTGGGATTCCATTTAAGGATACATTCAATCTCGCCTCTGTAATAACCTCAAGTCGTTTTGAAAACAAATCAAATGAACTCCTCTCTACCAAGCTTCCTTTCATTTGCACAATCAATGCGTGTGAAATGATGAAAGACGCCACGAAGGTGGCTGCAACCACAATTTTCTGTAGGAAGGAATAGCAGTTGAAACCTGCAAGGGGGAAAATGAAAAATAGCTCCCTCTCTAATTACTTTTGCCGCGGAGACATATCTGGGAAAATAACTTCTCTTTGGTTGGGAGTGCCACTGGAGAGATGAAGTCCCAATCTTCGAACATCGATGGCGGCTCTTCGATTACGATCTCCACAAAAGAGAGAAATAGGAAATCACATCCAGGAAATTTTGCCGACAGTGAAAGCTGCAGGAGAAAGAGCCCCTGGAAACGCAGCTCCGCCTGACACTTGTGCAGGGAAGGGAAAAATACTTCAGGGGACAGGGTCGACGACAAATCAAACTGTAAGAACCACCGCTAGAATTTTGTGGAAGAACTATAGGAAACGACAAGAAGCGGCTGAACTTCAGGGAAAAAGTTGTGTTATTTCTTGTGACTTGTAAGAACAACATAAAAAAACTGCTTTATTTTTTGCATGAAAGTACTCCGGGTAAGAACAATGGGAATGTTCTACGGGGAAGAACAACGGGAAAGTCCTGCAGCTGGGAGGGAAAATAGAGTATTCGTCGACGCACAACTTTTCAGAGAAGGGTCACTTGTGAGAGGGAGAGCCAGCCTACGGAGGTCTGACAAAAATCTTTCCGGGAGAGGTTGCCGTTGAGAGGGTGGCAGTAATCCATGGTTGGTTGCCCTCACGATATACCCTCGACAAGGATCTCAAGGTCGTTGTCACTCTAGATGCTATCCAGTCTCGCAACAAGAAGGTATGAGGTTGTAATTTAGGGCTCGACTCTTCAACGGAGGGAGATCCGGCGGTTGGAACTACCTGGCAGAAGGATCAACATCATCAACGTTTAGAAAACCGGTAGGGAAGATGAGAACCGACAGTAGTTTGGGTGAAAAATGACGACAGCTAGGGGAACCATCGAGTATAGATCTACACGATAGATATGCAATAGTTTTTTATGAGAAAAATTTGTTGGGCATCCAACAACAAAAAAATTCCCACGAAGTAGATCTCTACAGGAGGAAAATGGCCGGGAAGAAAAAATGCTGGGAAACTACCGCTTGCTTTTTGGAGGCCTGCAGGATCAAAGCTCTCGGCCTGGAAGGACCAACCAACACACCAATCTTGCTGGGTGAGAAGAAGTAAAATTTGTTGTTTCAAATATCAAGACGAGTGCCCCTCTCTTCCCGTACAAAGGATGGCAAGAAGGGAGTCAGACGGTTCTGGAAGGACCGGTGGCCAGGAAACAAAATTAGTCTTTGATACTATGTTGAAATTCAGAATAATGCAAAATATTTTTATTGATATGAACCCTTATGTGGATCATATAATAGGAAAGACAATAAAAGGGAATAACATTAAAAGAAATATATACCACCTAATATCTTCAATTAATCAATTTATATTAATTATGTGGAGATAAACGAAACAACATAAAATAGGAAAGCCTAATATAGGAAAGGAAATAAATCCAATATAAGAAAAAAGTCTAAAATATGAAAGGAAATAAAGTTTATATTAGGAAATAAATTCAATCCCCATAACTCTCATAACTTCTAACAGTAATAAATTATTTTCTACTATAACTTCTAACAACTACACTAGATATTTTTTTTCTTGTTTAATGCTGACATCGATCAAAATATATGATTAAAATCTGATAAGAATACTGGCGATACTCAAAATCCTTGCAGAAACAAGGAAAAAAAAATTGTATGTTACTTTGTTTGATACATCCGCTGGAAGAAGCGGGGAATAATTAACTTAAGTGCAGGTTTTTCTAATGCTGAAATTAGATATTAAGGTACAAAACTGGTTCCCTTCGCTGGAATATATTCTTTTTGAGATGGAAGTGTTCATTTCCAAAAGTAAATCTTATAATGCTGCTTGCAACTTGTTCTTAGACCTGGTAGATATTATTTGTCTGCTTTAGGTTGGTTGTAGTCGATGTACTTTTTGCTGTTGTGAAGAGAAAGTGATTCTGAATGTAATTATTTTAGGAGCCATTTGGTATCACTCTTGTTTATTATTTTTTATTTATTATCTTTATTTTGTTTTATTTATGTTTTGATTAGAAACAAAACATATTTAACTATTTGATTAAATTATGATTGTTTTTAAAATATGCAAAACATCAAAAAGTTGTTTCTGAGTGTTTTAAAAAACATGTTAATTTATTTTTAAAAATAAGCACTAAACAAATATATTTTTAAAAATAAATGAAAAAAAAACAAAAAATAAAGTTGATCCCAAACAAGCCATATTTAATCGGCTTTGGTATTGTGGTGATTAATGAGAACCGCATTTCCATTAAGCAGTTAACATGACCTTGTAGATGTCAACTTTCTAAAAGTTATTATTTCTTACAAATTCAAATTATGTGTATTGATATTGATTAGTTGTCACTGTCTTAGTTTTCAGATTTGCAGTTTGAATTTTAATACATGTATATTGATATTGATGCCAATAAGATCCTAGTGTGTTCTCCGCTGATTTAGTCACCTCATTAGGTTTTGAACTATTGCATCAAAGTGTTTCAATTCAACTGTTGAACTTCTTAGTTCATTTATTTAATTTCGTTTTTCATCATTTTACTCGTTCCTTTTTTTTCATCCACAAAGTTGGAAGTTCGTTATTGTCATCATTGATTTGGTAAGATATTATTATTGCTGATTTGGTAAACTCTTAGCAAGTGTGTTTGTCACACCTTGACTGACCCCCATTTTAGGGTTAATTGCGGTGCAACAGTGGCGGACGATTTGGTCAGATTAAATTCCCACCGCACTCACCTTGACTTGCATAATCAGGATCTAGTGGGGGATGAACTAGTCACTAAATCGCCGCCAATGTACATAATACATTTCGTTTTACAATTCATTCATATTATACCTAGAAACATGAAAACATTATATCACTAAATATACACACGGGGTTGCTAAATCCAAAATAATAAAAATATTTAAAAGTCTGTACAAGCTTCCAAAACTCTATAATGTTAAAGTTGTAAATGTGACATCTAGCTGCTATCCCCGATGCTCCTCACCTCTTTGTGAAAGTCAGCAACATAGAGTGAGCTACAACAAATTTAGCGAAATAATTAAGACTAAATAAAGATTTTATAAATGAAAAATAAACAATGCACATGATCATATGTAGCTCATATATATGTCCACAACACATATCACAATATGTTATAATCGTATAAAATATGTACAAGAAGATACATATAATGCATAGAATTATATCAGCTGTATAAAACATGATTTCATCGACATATCATGGTAAACTTATGAATGTCACTTGTAATTGTATAAAACTCAAATATTTTCATGTTATTGGGTCGTTACTTAGCTCGTAAGCTATAAAATTATTGATAAAGGTTGGATCCCTTTTAACATACCAGTTATCTATAATCTCCTTGATACTCTATATTCTGTCTCTTATGATCCCAACTGTTCCCTGAGTTTTGTCTTCGTCTGAATTACAAGAATTGGGAATCCCATCGTTTCCTATCATTTGTACTTGCAAATATTCATGTAATAGTATACATATAACATCATTTGTGACATTTTTTAAATCATAATTCTCGTAGCAACTATTTATCATAGACATTTCATATATCATGTGCATGAATCAGAATACATGAATACCTATAAGCAATAATTTCATAAACATGTTTATCAGAATCATAACATAGTAATATCATAAGTATCGTAAGTGACAAATCAAGTTTGCTTTCATACATCCTATGCAGATATTTATCCACAATATGCATGACATCTTAAATTCAATTGTGTCAAATATAAGCACATGAGCACCTATAAAGAGTTATTTTTTTTAGTTAGCACGAGATTATTTCACCCGAATTGACGGAGCAGTCCTACGATGAATTTCCCCAAGCTCGTCTCGAGCTCGCCGTCTAGTGCAAACAACTTGAATTTTGTAAACGCCGAGGATTTTCAAGAATTCTCGGCTTATATTGTGATTTAACCATAATCATAATTTTCTTACCTCAAATAGGCTTCTCGGCATAATACTTCCTATTCCTCTTTCTTCTCATTCCTTTCTCTTTAATCCTTCCCTACAACTCGTGAAATAGATCTACTGGAGAGTGCTGCTCTTTCTTTGCCTGTCCCGTGCTCGTTCCTGAAAAGCTACAACAATGAGGAACACGTGGAATGCATTAATTTGTGAAAAATATCAGAACTGAAATGCAGTGAAGGAAATGAATGCCTGAAATATAATGAAAGTAAGGTTTATGCACGCTGTCTTTCTCTCGGAGCTCCCAGCCGAGAGCTGCAACTCTCAACCCAGCCGCTTGCCCCGCCTTGCTACAGTCCTGGGTCGCAGGTCCCTTCAGACGAGCTAAAATTGAAAATGGGAGGGGAGAAATGAAGGGAAGTGCCACATTTAAGTTGGATTCCGATAAATCTCAGCCGTTCGATCTTATCGAGCGATGACATGCACAATTTAATGCAGGAGAGGAAGTTGGCTAGGAACAGTGCCGATGATACCAGAGTTAACCCAAATAACTATAGACAAACAAATATTATTACTAATAAGGCCAATAAACAATTACAACTGACACATTTGAAAGAAAAATAACAAACTCAAAAATCCAACTTAAAGTAGTGTGGATTTCAGGGTGGTGGTAATTGGTGAGGAGTGGAAATTGGCGGTATGGTGGACGAGTTGGTTGGCAAGTAGAAAACAACAAGACAACAATTTTGTGGGTTCTAGACAACAAGTACACAACAAATATTGACGTCATATGGCTGTCTGGGATGATGAAAATAAAAGGAGAGGGCTAGAGCAACAACAATAGCAAAGATGGAGGGCCATAATAGCGATGGAAGCGGGTATGAAGGACTGGAACAGGGATGGCAGCATGTGGGAGGGTCTGGGACAATGGCTAGGTGGCGGTGAAGTGGTTCAAAATGGCTGGAACAACAACCAAGGCTGCAGAGGGTGTTTCTTGTGGCCGGAACAATAGCAAGGCGGCAAGGAAAACGGATATGAGTTGTTGGAAAATCAACCAAGAGAGGTTGTTGGAAAGCAAAAACTGCAGAAAAAGAACCCAAAAGAGGATGGAAAGCAGAAACTATAGAAAATACCCAAAAGAGGTTGTTTCGAGTGGTTGTAGTAGGGAAGAGGTGGCCGCAAGCGATTTGGGAAGTATGGAAGGGTATAGGGGAAGATAATCACCACCTCGGGAGATACAATTGGAGCACCACCAATCCCTCAGATACAACTCTCGAAGGAAGAAATGGGCATCGACAATTGTCCTAAATAAACTCACGCAAAAATTAAACCTAGAACATCCGTAGTACAAATAGATAATAAGAGAGGATAACTAGGAGTTGCCAGGAAGAATGAATGACTCCTCGAAAGGGAGAAAACGTAGACCGGTTTGGTGCAGGTGAAAGAATGGGTCACACAAAAACGATATGAGCGTGGTGCGATCCGACTTCCGTGATGCAGATCGTGTGGGAGACACTTTGGTCGCGGGGCTTCTCGCATCACACATCATTCGCTGAATTCCATGAACTCTCACGTTAAGGCTTCAATTGCGGGTTTTGCATGGCCGAGGATTAGGGATTAATTAAGGGTTTATTTAAGTTTAATTATATATTTATGTCATAATTTTTTATCTTCTCATACGTTTACAATTCATACATGGTGCTATATATCCGATTGATCAATTCAAGATGTAGACTTTTATAAAATTGCATTGGCCAAATTCGGGGAATGCTAAATTTGGGATATACTTTACAATTATAAATTTTTTTTCTGTTTTCTCAAAATTGGGTGTACAATGTAAATTGGGTGTTACAATGTCAAAGACTCGGAAAATATCACACACAGGCATAACTCTGACAAGTCTTTTTGAAGTGTCCATGCTTTATAGTAGAGTTGAAAACTGATTTCTGTACAAAGAATTAGGGATCAGCATTTGCCAAATGGATTTAAAAGTTGTTTTCAGCTTGAGATAACACATGTTTATATTTAATTTTTTATATTTGTTTATTTCATGTTTGTGAGGCTTTATTATAGTGTTTGTTGGATGCATTCTGGCTAAGAATTAACTGTTGGCCCGTGCACTTACTTTGGCATTTACATTTTGAAGGGATTCATGATAGTTATTGCCAACTTTAAGTGGAAAGAAATCATAGCCAACAAAGGAGATACTTTACACACAAAATTTTGCTTTTAAGATGGCTTTCTTTTATTCTGTCATCATAAATTTTCAAGACAGCGAACTTACTAGAATTTTTTGAAGTTTTTAAGTAGCTTATTACTATTATTATTGTTGTTCTTGTTGTTGTCTCTGACTTCTCTCTTATTTTTTGTATATTAACAGCTGTTCCAGGCAGTATGGAAATTGATAAGGAGGTCTCTATTAGTTATGGAAATAAGGGAAATGAGGTTCTTTCCATTCCCTTCTTTTTACCAATGATGATTCCTGCTATTAGGTGCCATTTATTTTAACTCTATAGGCATGTAGAAGATTAAATCTTATGCTTATTCGAACTTTTACCTTGAACGCTTTGGTTTAGTTTATTAGCTATTTCTCTTTCACTACTAGTTTTGAATTATTGTAGAATCAGGTACATAAAATTTTGAGTTAGATACGGCGATAAGCTTTGATTGTTTTAAATCGTCTTCAAATAATAAATACCGCTTTGACTCTCATGTTGCCATCTTTTTACATCTAGAAGAAGTATCCATTATTTTTAATACTTTGTGGTAGGCAGGACTCGCAAAGGTTATATTATATATTAAAGGAGGCTCTTTTTATTTTGGATCACCTACACTTTACACTGCAAGTTTTACATCTTAGTTTGTCAGTCCACAAACTTTCAAGCCTTTACATAAGCTTTCAACCTCCGACTATTTTGTTATCTTGTATCAGGGAAGAAAATACTACTTGCTTTATTTCCCTTTTACATTAGGCAAGCCCACTAAACCCGGCCAACAATACGTCAGAATCCATCAGAGGAAAATATTAGTGAAGATCAGATATATTTTGCATTGGCATTTAGGTTATAATGGTCGCTATTTAGTGAAATAATGCAGCACACAAGGGTTTTTTTGACAAAATCATAATGGTGCTTTTTTCCAATGGCTTAATAAAAGGCCTTAGAAAAAGGACAGTATCTATAAACAATTTGTAGTAGTTAGCCTATAAATTTTGTATTTTGATACTTTGTGGACTACAATGTAAGGTGTCCCTAAGTTCTGGGCTCTTTTTTTCAGAAGTTCTGACTTCTGACTACTAACTCTTGTATTTCAAATCGGCATTTTCTTTCTAAGTGTATGATCTGGTCTTCCTTCAATGACATGATTTTTTGTTTTTTATCACTTGTCAGGAGCTTTTATACCTTTATGGTTTTATCATTGACGTTAATCCAAGCGACTATCTTATGGTGAGATCCATCTATATTTCTTTTACTAAATATATGGTTCATGTCTGCATTCCTTTCAATTAGCTTATGCATTTGCATTTCTTTTTAGCATCGTAATTTATTATTTATGCCATACGATTTGAAGTTTTTGTGCTATTGGTTTCTTGTAGGTTCATTGCCCTTTAGAGCTCCTTCAGAACGCACCATTGTCTGAGAACAAGGAAAAACTCCTAGAATTACAGGTAGCTTGTTGGATGAACCGTATTTTCTTTTGTACCTAAAATGCTATGGATGATATATATTTTGTTCCCAATATAAATTATTATATTACAATGATATAACTATCATATTATTGCTTTTAGTAGGGACTGGTATAAATTTGACGCTATATATGGTATTTTTTTCTGTGGCAAAATTTGAGTTAACAATGCATGATTCCATGTTATAGCATTGTATCATGCATCTAAAATCCTCTTGCATGCCCTCTTTAAGTTATGAAACCACAAGGTAAGGGAATTGTATTTCCAAATGAAAAGTGGTGTTATTTTCTGAGAAGGTTGATCGGTCCAGCGGGATGGGTCTAGCGGGAGGCTGGACCAGACACTCCCCAGGCCAGCTCAGTTGGCCTCTCATCGCCCACATCCCTCCTCTCATCTGGCCTCGAGTCGCGCCTCGTTTCCGCCTCCCCCATGTCATCCCCAGTCCATTTTGGGCTTGAATTAGTGGTGTTGAAATTAAGGCCAAAAAAGGGCAAGAGTGATTGTTGCAACACGAGAAGGCCCAATATAATTCAAATTATTCAAACCTAGCATATTATAATGCTTTCCATTTTATATGTTTTCATGTTTCTTGCCATGCTTCCAAGGCCTTGTAAAAGATCTCTAAAGATCTTTCTCATTCTTTATATGCTTTGTAGTTTTCTTATCATCCATTTCTTGTCATATTTGTCCTTTCGAGCATTTTAAGAATTAGTGCAAGTTGTATTCCATTAAATGAACTTGTTTTGCGCTTAATATTATTTTCATGTTTTTTATATATTATTGTTTTTGTTTATTTTTCACATATTAAAATTTATTTTATTTTTAATTTTGTGTTCTTACTATTATGTAAAAATATATATTTAATTATTTGGTATTTTGGTAATGTTTTTCTTGATTTAAATCGGATTATTGTGATATTTAATTCTTGTTCTTTCTATTTTTAATAATAACTTCTTTGAAAACTTCTTCGTCAAATTCCCATTACGAAACTCCTAGAAACCCCAATCGATTCATAATCAAACCCTACTTGCTAGACCTTGCCAGAGTTGACCGTTTTCTCAAAGTTTGTTAATCTAACCTAAAACGCCCCAATCTAGATCATTGACTCCCGATTGCTATTTTGACTTGGGGTCAAAGTGATCAAACCATGATTAATTTTGTCAAAATATTCAACTCTAATGAAAAGCTGACCTAAGTAAAATAATCTTTTAAACACTAAGATTCATTACTCATCAACTTAACCCAAAGTAACATACATCTTTTCTCCCCCTATTTGTTATATTGGTCACCTACCCATAATTTCTATTTTAAAAATTTTAATCATTCCTTTCCATTTTGTATTATCTTTATCGGTCTTCTACACATAGATTTAAAAGATACATTTTTAAATAGGTATTTAGAAGAGGAAGTTTATATGATAAAATATTATTTTGGTCTTACCATCAATATGAACCAAGTTGATAGACTCAAGAAAGGAAATTATAGATCGACTATCTCCACTGACTACAAGTCTGTCTGGGTCAGCTGCAAATTATTTATAATCTGCTTATTTGTAGATTATCCTGATAATTTGATAATCTGCAGTTTGTCCTGATAAATTGATGGGTTGTTTGCGGGAAAGTGAGAGCTTATTCAAAAGAACTTATTTACAGCTATTTTTGGATAAATGACCATTCTACTCCTGTTAAGTAATGTTGTTTGCAACATAACTGTCTGGAAAATATAATTGACACAACAGAAGCAGAAAATCAATATAGAACAATTTTAAAAAATAAGATACAGTCCTTACACAATCCTCAGATACATCCCTAAAAAAGAATACAGGGACGTCGACTGCTATTATGAACAGAATCACGAGAAAAGGTGAAACCTAAACATGACAAAGGCACATAAAGAGCACCAGGGTAATTATGAGTGGCCCCCTCTCTCACAAGGAGATAGTAATACCATGTAAGGAAGGTCGGTCGGCCCTTAGACTGCACTTCTAGACCAGTCCCAACCAATTTTGAATGCCTGCTTCCAATTTAGAGACGGGAGATGTCGCACCCCTTCATAAGTGGGAGACGCCCTCGTCATATTGAGTAGGTGTATTTTATTCCTAGTTTTACATTTTTTTAGGACTGGTTGTGGCTGTTTTCTACCCCTTAGTTTCTTGTTAATTTGGACCTACCAATTGGGTTTCTGTTATAATTATTATTTTTTATTAGCTTATGGGAATGAACGCTCGCTTCGCTCCGCTGGCTCGCTCCGTTCCGCTGGCTCACTCCGTTCCGCTCCAGCATCTGTCTAATCAGGGGAGTTTTGTTATGTGGGTTGGGGTGCGGGGACAACACCCTCGCGGTATGGTACATTGGTAATTTTGTAATTGCATGTTGTGCACCAGGGCTATATATCGTAGGCATCTTTGCCAAACCTCGTTAAATTTTTGTGTTCTTCTTCGTGATTTGCGTTTGTTTGCCCTAAATTTCTCAACACCAATCTTTTACCTTCATCATAAATTTGAATGACTCAAATTTAAAGCAGCTTTTTGTTAATTTTTACTAATTTTTTATATTAACAATTGTTGTTACCTACTTCATATCTTAATTATATAAAATTTATTATGGATGGTCAAAGATGTGGTAGAATTTGTGATTTTATTCTCGTAGAATTTGTGATTCTTTTCTTCTTAATGGGCAATAGCCTCTATCTCTCCTCTCATTACGCATATATCTGTGCCCACGTGTACGGGCAGAACATTTGTGCACTCACATGTATTATCATGCTATTGAGCACTTTCTTATGCAGACTTATATGAATAGATTTTTTACTGCAACTTTGTCTCCATAATGAATGCTTGACCTTTCTAGTGCTTGCAGAAAGCTGAATTGAGATCTCTCTTACCCAGTAGTCTTCTTGATAATGGCTTTTTCACTGGCTGTCATAAGAATGAGGACAGCACGCGTAGCAGTTTTAGCTGGAGTGGTCAGCGCAAGTTTCCTTCATATCTGCATAAGTTGGTTTTCCCTCAAGAATTCATGGCAGCTTTACGAACAATAACAATGAAAGAGAACGAGATTAAAAAGGCTACTTCTCTGCTAGAAGAGGTAAGTATAGCTTTTGAGTTGTAGACTTGTTGCTGAAGGGCTCTGCTTTTTTTTTCTGCCAATGGCACTAATTATAGAAATTATTTGGGGCATTTACATACATAGCACATAATTCTTATATATTTACACATCTCACTAATGATAGATAATATTCGGGGCATTTACATACATAGCACACAATTCTTAACATATCTCACATGTATTTACATATCTCACATCTAAACTTTCATATTTACACACAACACTCACAACTTTAATATCACATCCAAAATAGTACTATTACCACTTTAAAGGTAATATATACCTCTTTATGCATTGGTTTAAAACACCAATGTGCTATGTATGAGAATAGAGAAAAATAACCCACCACATTGAAAATCGAATGATAGCCCACACAAGGTTTTTCTGTCTTCTATTTTCCTAGTTTCCATAACCATATGGGCCTGAACTCTTTAAGCATATTACGGACATGTTGAGGAAGACATTCGACTTTTGGCTTGGTAGTGAGTTATTATTATTATTTTTTTTGTCAAAACAGGACTTCTTCGTTTAACTTGAACTAGTGGCTTCTCTTGCCAACTATATTATGGGTTTTCAATGCGATGGATCCTTTTTCTCTTTTCATCCATACTAGGCATTGCATTAAGCATAATTTGTCATGATTCGGCCCGGGGGCTTAGAATCTTCGAAAAATGAACAAACGATAAGATGGTGAAAAATGCAAGTTTAAATTTTATTTTGAACATCCGATAAAATTAGAATTTGTTTTTTTATCGTCTGTTATCATCTTAGAGATTTAGAGCCACCGGCTTGAGTTGTGCCAGAATCATCTTAACGAAAGCATAATCTTCACATGAATAGAATTGCTGTGTTTGTCCACCGTTTTTGCATCCTCTGGAAACATAATATTATTGCTATTCTTCTGCCAGAGTCAAATTTCATTAAAAATTGTGGCGTGAATTTTTTAAGTTTATTTATTTATTTGTTATTTTTTTTACAATTGGAATGCTTTGAAATGCTTTTGATCATCATCGAGTTGATTTTTGTTACAATCATTTTCCTCATTTTATATATATAGCTTGTTGGATCAATAGATGAGGGGCAGGCATCAGAAGCAGATGTGAGAGCAGCTGTTTGGGAATCTTGTGGAGATTATGCAGCTCTAGAGCTACTAGTGGATCTTCTTCGCGCCAAGTAATAATTCCTTCTGACACTTGGAAGATTTATGCTTCTTAAATTCTATTTTTAATGTAATTTATTTGATTAGATGTCTATTAAAATTTCTTAAACAATGCTTTTGGATTTACTCGTCTTACCTTATCTTCTCTCTGTTTTCTTGCATTTCTTTATTACCAATTTGCATTTTCTTAATCATTGAAACAATTTCATATTTAAATTTTTATGTCTAAGAATAACTCTAATTGAGGTCGTACATAAGAAATATTCTCATTTGGGAATTAATAAAACTTGCATTGCATCATTTCATCTTCATAATTTTTTTTTCTTTAGGTGCATAACTTCTGCATAGTAATGAGGTCTGTCCATACTACCAAAATCCTAGATCAAGGCAAACAGCTTAAACCAAATCCTTGATGTTGTAGGGGAGGATGATGCTGAGGATTTGCTGATTTTCTTCAAATCCAAGATCAATTTCTTTGCTTTTTATGTTTGCATTGTACTTTTTACATTCTCTTCTCTTCATTTCTTCTCATCATCATGCTGTTTCTAGTACTCTTCTCTTTTTTTATGCTTTTTTCTTCTTTTATCTTCTCTTCTATTCTTTTCTTGTGTATTTTTCCACCCTCTTCTATTCCTCTTCTTATTCTTCTTCTTTACTCTTTTCTTTCTTAACTTAATGGCTATTATTGTGGATCGACCACACCCTAAATATTGTATTAGTTGGAACTACGTGCACCTGACTCTAACCTGGAGAATGATACTTGTTGCAACTCCAATGATGAGGTTAAGGTGATGCACTCAGTAGGCGCTGGCGGAGCAAGAAAATTTTCGAAGAGGGGACATACAATAATTTTCTCCAAAAATTCTCTCAATATTTTTCATCCATGCTTAGGATCAGCATTGGCGATTTTAAAAAGTTTTTGTTAAAATATGTTAATATAAAAAGGTTTGATTAAAAAAAATTCCAATAAATGAATATAAAATTTAATTAAACGTTTTGGTTAAAAAATTTCCAATAATAAGTATAAAATTTGAATAAAGTTGAATGAAAGGGCACGTATTATTTAGTTGAAATATAATTTTTTAATTTAATAAGAGTTTATGTAAATATTATATATATTAAATTTAAGAAAATGTATATCAAATTTAGGTGAAAGTAAAGCCAACAAAAATTACCAGTGGGAGCGGATGGGGGTGAGGGATGGCGTGGCGCTGTCGGGGCTGTAATAAATATTAAAGTCATAACATAAAGCTATTCTCGTAAATTTATCCGGGTGTTCTTAATTTTCTTAAACCAAATACATGCACAATAATTTATGTTGGCTCCAAATTATTTTTTAGAATAAGTGTTTATATACTCAGAAACTGAATCTGACGTAAAAAAAATTCACTGTAAATGAAGTGGAGGGCTATTTCAATAATTCCTAGCTTTATAAACTCTACAAAGCATTGCTGTTTATTCTTCTCGCATGCTTAGCTGAGCCGTGGGAGCTAAACTCGCGGATGGCAGTAGTCCGAAAGAATGAAGATGTTAAAGTAGGTAGCGATGATTCTATCATCCTATCCAACAACATCAACAATATCTTATAATTGCTGAACAACAACCCTAATGCAGCGAAGATGATGACTCCAACTTGTAAAAAAAGATATTGAATGACGGTGTTAGGTTTTGCAATGGGTGCAAAGAAATGTTATGTAGTATTTGGAATGTGAATAAGTAGAGGAAGGAGAAGAGAATAACCCTCAGTATGTTAAATTGGTAAGAATTTCATCTTTGCAGACTTCTCCATAAGCCCCAAAAAATGCTCAGTAATGCTACTCACAATTCTAGTTATTTTTTTCTTGCTGATAATGTTTATTAGTTAAGCTAATTGATTTCTTTTCTTTTTTTATTTATTTACCTCATCCAACCATTTTGTTCTTGGCTCTCCTTTCCCTTTTGTTTTGAATGCTTTGGCTCTCCTTTTCCTTTTGTTTTGAATGCCTGCCTTCCAAAAAAAAAAAATTGTGGAGTTTGTTTTACCCGAATCGGCTAGAATTTATGGTGCAAATCTTTTACTTCTGTTGGTGGTTTTGCTAAAGTAGCTTTCCTTGTGCAAGGATGACGGAACTTGAAGAGAGTTCAGGAACTTTAGAGAGTGATTCCAAGCTTCTAGAGGATTTCTACAATTTGGAGCTCGAAGAATACATGAGGTATGCAGTTTGATTCTGCTATAATTGAATAATGTACTTTTTTAAATTTTGATAATATTTCTAATATTAAACATTCAAAGTTGGATGCACCTAAGATATTAGTTGTGTTCTTGATGAAGTTTGATTTTGGTTTTAGTGCTCCCTCACTATGGCCTTCAAATTTTAGATGCATTTTGAAATTTGTAAGTTGGAATAACGGACTAATTTTTTAATAGATAAATAGCTTAGAATTCATAGAAAATGATTAGGTTTTGATAAGCTTAAAAATTATCTTGATAATGGATGTGAAAATGATAATTATTAGTCCGTGTGGCTAGAAGATGAAGTGATACTTAGCTTGCTAAGCTTAAAAATATTTAGTATATTATTCCAAATAATTGGGATATTGATGAGTGGAATTTCTGAAGTTAAAGTTGGCTGGTTAAAATGTAGTATTTTTTGAGTACCGCGCCATAAGAAAATATCCTGATTTTAAAAAGAAAATAATTATTAACTTTCAATCAACCTTACTATTATTCTAAATGGATTCTTAGTATTGGGGAATAAAAAAGCCGCTAATAATTAAGTGGAAGGATTAAGAATATGAAGAAGCATATTACAAAAAAAAATTGAGAAATCTTCAAGCTAAGTCTTACTATTTCTCTTCTTTCTTGGAGATAAAATGAAAATTTTTGCTAAAAAATTCTCTTATGTTAAATTTAGTTGAATTCTTAATTCCACAGGATATACTGATAGCTTTTCCTTTTATGAGTTTCATCATATATGCTGAGGTGCTTATTCTTTATGAAAAAAGCTAGGGGCTTGTGAGCCAGCTTCAGCTCTACTCGCTAATGAGCCAATGAGTGGAGTTTATTGAGCCATAAGCTCGAGTTTGAGCTTAGATATACAAGCTCAAGTTTAGTTTGGGATTGAAAAACCACATTCGAAATTGCTGATATGTAGAAAAGGTAGCCCTTTCCATAGTAGTTGATCGATGGGTAGGGATGGATCGATAATGATGGTTTTGCTTGAATTAGACATGAAGGACTTTCAATTTTGCTTCTTTTGAATAGATTTAAGAGAGGACTAAAATCCTTGGAAGTATTTGGAAGTTCAATTCTGCTGAGCTTTCTAAGTGGAAGCTAGATTCTTTGCGCTTCGAGTTGCAGAAATTAGGATTATTTTGCATGCACATATGAAATGAAAATTTTTTGTCAGGCTAATGCTGTTGTTAACATGAAAGTCTTAAATGACTCTTGCGGATGGTATATGGGGTGATTGGAGTCAAGGGCTCGAATTTTCTCCACCCTTTGGTATTGATGTTTAATAGGATTTCTATAAAAAGCTTTTTCACTAGAAGTGGTTTCACTTATTTCCAGAGTCTAAGAGTGTCAATTCAGTCCTCCACGGACTCTTTTAATAAGGGCTACTAGAGCATACTATTGCATAAATATTGAAGAAAAAGTGCATAACTCCTGATTACTTGTAACTTTTATAATCAATCATAGTTGTTGTAGCATCGACTACAATTCTTGTAGCCCAACTACGGCTGTCGTAGCCTCTAATTATGACTTTTATAGCAAACTAC